AAAGCTTTGTATTCCAACACCCTCAGGAGCTGATTGTTCCCACTGAGCAGGTAGAGGATATGGAATATCCTCCTTGTTTGCACATGGAATACTTAGTGGGAAGCAGGATGGGCATTGCTGGCCTGGGAATGTCATGCTCAGGTTATTCCCAACATCTTGAGCAGCCCAAACCTTCTGGGAAGGGATTGTTGGACTTGGGAAAAGCCAAGTGAGGGCACATTCTGCTGCCACATAAACACAGAACACAGGGATTTGGGGGAATGTTTGGACTGGATCAGGGATTTGTGCTGTGTAAACCACCCAGAACCTGTGACTTTGTCTGTGGTTTTCCCCTCATCATCCACTTCTCTGCTCCTGACTCCCAGGAGGAAGAGCCAAAGCCTCCAGAGCCTCCAGTCAAGGTGGAAGAGCCTCCAGTGAAGTCGCCTGATGTGTAATTATCCTGGTTTGGATTTGCCTGGAGAACCCCTGGGTGCAAGGGGCTGGAGGAAGGGAGCAGGACTGGGGCCCTGGAGTGGTCTCCCAGGGCTTGGAATGGCTGGAAAATGGGCTGGAGGTTGGAGTTGGATTCCTTGGGTGGAGAATCCTTGCGTGTGAGATTCCATGGGTATGAGATTCCATGGGTGAAGATTCCATGGATGCAGACTCATTGGGTGTGAGATTCCATGGGTATAAGATTCCATGGGTAGAGAATCTTTGGATGTAAGATTCCATGGGTAGAGAATCCTTGGGTGTGAGATTCCATGGGTATAAGATTCCATGGGTAGAGAACCCTTGGGTATGAGATTCCATGGGTATAAGATTTCATGGGTGGAAAGTCCTTAGGTGTGAGATTCCTTGGGCTTCCAGGTCCTTTGGATGTTAGATCCCTTGGGTTTCAATCCTTTGGGGTTAAGATTCCTTCGGTGTGAGATCCCTTGGGGCTGAGATTCCAGGGGTTTGAGATGGGGAATGGTTTCCCACTGGAAAAGAGGAGTTTCAGATGGGATATTGGGAAGAAATTCTTCCCTGTGAGGGTGGTGAAGCACTGGGATGGGTTTCCCAGAGGATGCTCCATCCCTAGGAGTGTTCCTGGCCTGGCTGGATAGGGCTTGGAGCACCCTGGAAGTGGGAGGTGTCCCTGCCCGTGGAGCAAGAGGAGCTTGAAGATCTTTTCCAAGCCAGAATTCCTTGGAGGATGCTCCAGAGCTGGAAGCTCGTGGGCAGGAGGGGGCGTCCTGCTCCCAGCTCTGCTCCCAGCTCGGCTCCCAGCTCCGATCCCAGCTCTGCTCCCAGCTCTGATCCCAGCTCTGCTCCCAGCTCCAGGCAGAATTGCTTCCTGTGGAAGTGCCATTAAACCATTACTACCTTTCAGGGCATAACCTGGGAAAGCTGTTGGGGAATGGGGAACAAAAGCTTCCCATTTTCCCTTAATGAGCTTGGCTGTTCCCACTGTTTTATGGGAGCTGTTGGGGGAGGAGGAGGAGCTGCTCATTCCTCCTGGGAACTTCCCAACTTTGGCTCTTCCTCCTTTGTTTCCCCCTGGAGCCTGAGCTGGGATCAGAAGGGGAAGTGGAGCTTGGGAATGTTGCCTCTGGCTGTGCCATGAACTAGAACACAGCGACCCTTTGTGTGCCAGGGCCCTAAGGAACGAAACTCCACAGGGATTTGCTCTGGAAGAGTTGGATGTTGCTCCCAGGAGCTTTGAGTAGGGCAGGGATTGTTCCTGGGCATGGAAATCCATTCCCAGTCCACCTGGTACTGAGGTGGATCCCAGAATCCCACTGAATCCTTTCTCTCCTGCATTACACATGATCCTTCCAAGCGTGGCTGGGCCTCAGTAGATCCAGCTCTCTTCCCACGGGAATCCTGGGGTGTTCCAAGGGCTGTGCTTCCACTGGGTGTTGTTTCCTGCCCCACGTATTCCCTAAATTTTGGCTGGAAGCTTCTCAGGCCTCATTCTTCCCTTGGGAATCGATGCCAGGCCTTCAGTGTGGGTCCTGGCTCGTGGCTGTTCCCATTTCCCATGGAGACCCTGAGCTGTGTTGGGAGTGGGTGGCAGGAAGGAGAGCCCCAGGCCTTTTCCCAGCAGGACAAACCTCTGGAGCTAGTGGGAGCTCTTCTCATTGGTTTCCCTCTTTCCCAACACCTCCAGGATCACGGAGAAGAAGGTGGTGAAGATAACCTCAGAGATATCCCAGATGGAGGTAAGGCTCCTCCTGCTGCTCTTCCCACCCCTCCTGAGGCAGGAGCAGTGTCTGCAGGGGAAACCTGCCTTGGATTTTGTGGATTGGTTGTGGATTCCCCATCCCTGGATGGGATTCTATTCCAGACCAGGTTGGACAGGGTCTGGAGCAGCCTGGAGGTGTCCCTGCCCAGGGCAGGGATGGGGTGGGATGAGCTTTAATCTCCCTCCCAAAATATTGCATGTTTCCAGACCTCTCCTTTCTCTCCTCTCCCTGTGTCACCTCTGAGCTCCCTGAAAACCCTCAGGAGCTGCTGATTCCTCTGGGAATACTCAGCGAACCCTCTGAGTTCCAGGAATCTGCCTGTGCTGCTCTAATCCCTCCTCGGTTTGTTTGGCTCCTGCGGCAGAAATCCCTGTGAAAACA